CTTCGGACTGAACACAGGTACTTAGACACAGATAGCTACGCTGACCCACACTGTTAAGAACATATTTCCTGGTGTGTGAGTTAAATTTTTCGTAAAGGGTGCCATACATTTTGAAATGTTCACACATACCCTGTGTTCAACTGAATGCAGACAAAAAGCTTTAAACCATTAACCATCTTCTGGAGTCTTTCCTATCGCACTTATAGATCGATTTAAACAATTAATTGGGTGCTTAAAGAATTTATACTTCTATAAATAGTTTCTCTTTCCCCACTGCCCTCTCTGCCTTTTTTGGGAATCTGTCAATTTATTGAAGATGATAATTCCCTGTCCTGCAAATATGGGCCTTTGTGCTAGAGACGAGTTTATTTAAAATCTCTACAAGCGAAATGGCTGAGGGCATAAGAGTTGCACAAGGGAAAATTTGAAATGAAGCCAGAAGGTTGTATATTTGCACTGGAAAGGGGATGAGGGAAGACCAAAAAATGTTACCATTTTAATTGTTTTACAGTCATTTCGTGTATGTTTTACTATTTCGCCTTAGTCAACAGCCATACTGAATATTACAGGCGTGACTCAAATTTTCAGCCTTGAATGACATCACAGATATTCAAAAATCATCTGAGCTTTATCATTTTGATCATACATAGCTTACTTATGCCCTTACTATGCTACAACATCTTTATTTAGTCCAAGATAGGAGGCTTCGTACATAAATGGTGGTTTCCAACATTCATTCATTAGACAACTATTTAGTGAGCCACTGCTGAGTGTCGGGCTTGGTTTTCTAGGCATGACAAACACAAGGAGAATAGGACTCCAGTTCTCTTGTACTCATTAACGTCATACGATCTCTTATTCCTCAGGCCTGTAAGCACCTATGTGATCTGGGCCTGCCCCTGTCTCCTACCGTTTTCCTTTCCACCCTCCCTCTGGACCTATGCTTTACGGCCACACTTGCAGTTCCCTGAGAACACCAAGCTATTCTTTCTTACCCTCAGGGCCTTCGCACTTGCGGTCTCCTTTTCCCAGAATGCTCTTCCCCAAGGTCACTTCCTCACTTCATTCAGGTCTTTGTTCAAATACCACTTCCTTGAAGACAATTCTTTTTAAAGGTAAATCTCTCCCCCCCCCAGGCAACCCTCATCCTGCTTTTTTTGTCTCCAGAGCATTGCTCACCTCTTGAAATGTTATACTTTGCTTACGTTTTCTTTTTTGTCTCCCTTGGTACAGCTCAGACAGGAAGTTCATCTTTTTCAGCAATGAATCCCTAGAGCCTAGAACAACCTCACATGTAACATGTTTCTATGTATTTGGATAATAAGTGAATGAATGGAGGAGGAAGGAAGCAACTGGCTCTGGACACTTTGGGGTGCTCGGTGAGCCAGCTTTGCAGGAGTCATTCTGGTACCCTGTCAGACCATGGCCCCCACTCCTGAGCCTCCCCTTCCCCCTCCTGCTGGGCTCTGTCTGAGAATGGATGCCCAGCCACTCAGGCTCCAAACCTTGCCATCACTTCTCATTCCTCCCTCCCTCCACTCCCACATCCAATCCACTGCCAGTTCTGGTGACACTGTGGCCTCCTGCATCAACTCCTCTTTCTCTTCATTCTTACAACCCCCCGCCCCCCATCTCCCCTATCCAAACCCTCCTTAACTCTTACCTATACTGCTGTCATTGTTTCCTACCTGGGCTCCCTGCCAGCAGGCTCTCCCCCTCCAATCTGTTCTCCATGGGGCAGCCCGAGTGAGTTTCCTAATGGCCACATTTGATCATGTCTCTCCCCCACTCAAAAACTAAAGGCCGATGATCACATGGCTTGGCACTCAATGCTCCCAGCAACTGCCTCCACCTTCCTACCCAGGCTTCCTTCTCACGGCTCCTCTTTTATCCTTTTTGCCCAGTTGGAATGAATTGCTTTCCAGTTTCTACACACGTCCTAGAAGCCCCCACTGCCGGCTCTCTGCTCATGCTGTTTCCACTACTTATAATATTTTCCTCCTTCCTTCCGTTGTACAAATCATTTAGACCCAGCTCAAATGCTACCTCGCTTCTCCAAGAAGCCATTCCTCATCTTCCAGAAGAATAAACCCCTCCTTCTCAATTCTATCCAAGGGGTCATCTGTCTCTCTTTTCAGACAGGCTTCAAGGAAAGGACAGGCAACGTGACATACAAGAAAGAGTTCAGAATCTGGGGTCAAAAGCTCTGAGCTGGAGACACAACTCTCTGGCTCTGAGACTTTTACAGTACCAATCCTTAGATAAGTTAAACTCTGAGTCTTAACTTCCGCATCTATAAAATGGGAATAATAATGCTATTGATATCATGGGTGTGTTATGAGGATTAAATATAAGTGACAATGTGTAAGAAAAGCTTTGACTGTATATAAACTATCAAATTCAATCATCCTTAGGTGAGGAATAACTGATAAACAAAAGTGACTTCTCCCAGGGAACTTCATGGATGTCCTATGCTGGCTGAGCCCTAAGTCCAGGAATAGATCAGTGGAGGAGGGATTTTTTGAGGGAGAGGGACTTTCAGGATTCAAAATCTCATGTCCTTGGGCAATCTGAAGAAGGGAAGAAGTGGAGGGTGGACTTCCCTGGTGGCGCAGTGGTTAAGAATCCACCTGCCAATGCAGGGAACACGGGTTTGAGCCCTGGTCCGGGAAGATCCCACATGCCACGGAGCAACTAAGCCCGTGCGCCACAACTACTGGGCCTGCGCTCTAGAGCCCGCAAGCCACAACTACTGAGCCCGTGTGCCACAACTACTGAGCCCGCGTGCCACAACTACTGAGCCTGCGCTCTAGAGCCTGTGCTCTGCAACGAGAAGCCACCGCAATGACAAGCCCGTGCACCATAACGAAGAGTTGCCCAAAAGCCCGCGCAGCAACTAAGACCCAACACAGCCAAAATAATACGTAAATAAATAAATATAAATTAAAAAAAAAAAGAAGTGGAAGGTATATCCATAAGGCTGGGGCCTTAATGGTATTAACAGCTACCTATTCGGAGCTTTTTCTATGTCCCAGGCCCTGTGCTAAGTACCCTACATAAATGATTTCATCACAGAAGAAAAGAAGAGGAAAACTACAAGTGCCCCCCCCTTCCCCAACCCCCTGCAACAGTTCAGACCTGAAAGATATCCTGACACCAATCCAATGATCTTATTTTTTGGATGGAGAAATTGAGACCCAGAAAGATTATAAGCATTCACTGCAACTGTCCAGCCAGATCTCTTCACTCTGAGGGTGAGAGCCATGGCACAGCAATAACCCACGGGCCACCGCTCGTTATGAAGTCTATGTAAATGGTGCTTCTGGAGCACAACGCCATTTACAGGCACAACAATGTGAGTGGTGGCCCCTGCACTTATGCCAGCTGGTCACCCTGTCTCTGCTCCATGCCAGGTTGCTGACTCAAGAAGGAAGCTCTTGAGACAAGAACCTCAGGCCCCTAGAGACTGAACACTGTCCTCCTTGCCAACTACCCCATCCAACAGAGTCTTCTCAAAGATGACTAACTTTATCCATTCACCATCCAGCTTGCACTCCATCAACATACCTCTCGGGGCACCCTCTCTGCACCAGGCATCGGGTTCAGCTCTGGGGATACCCAGCTGCCTTTGAGGGAACCTTGCCTGAGCCATCACCCAAGCCTGGTGAGGCTGTAACTCAAGCTTCCCCAGCAGCTCTGTCAGCAACACCAAGAGGCCGCACTCAACAAACGTCAAGGAGGGAGAGGTGGCCGGACAGGAAAGACAAAGAGACCTCTACAGAGGGATGATGAAGGGAGCCTGGCTGGATTAGAAGACCTAGGCCCTTAAGGAGGGGGGGTAGAGTGAGGGGGGAAGGCACACAGTCAGGTCAATGTGGGGGACTCCTTGACCATGGCATTATTGTCCAACTAAGGACACTGGTTCAGTGACTCCTGGGAGAACCAGGACTAACATCCTGGAATCTGATCTCCTGCCCAGGACTGCTTCATTCTCCCAAACTAAATCTCAAGATCTCCTTTGAGGCTGAAACAGGCAAATTAAAGGCCAGCCTTTTTTTTTTTTTTTTTAAAACAGTAAGTATGGTAGCAAATGAATGGCATCTGACACTCCAAAAGGGGGCAGGGCTGGAATTACAAAGACTTTCCTGATACACTCAGGTAAATTTTGGGGATCTGGGGCTTCAACAAGGATAAGGATGGAATTGTATAGGAGAGGACATGAGTATGAAAGCCAGGGATGCTAGATTCTAATGCAGGCTTTGTCAGTAACTCTCCGGTAACCTTGGTCAAGCCACCTCACTGGGTCTCAGTTTCTCCGTCTGTAGAATGAGGGCGTTGAATGAGTTCCCAAGATTCACCTGGTCTTGACCCTCTAAGGTACATGATCCTTGGTAAGGTAAACCCCTCAGAAGTCTGACCCAAGCAATCTCCAGGTTTTGCAGGAGCCTGGGCCTCATCCAGGAAAAAGGGGCATGCTGGGGGAGGGGAACACGCTGGGCTTTTATTTTGGGGGCGGGTGGGAAACTGGTGGTTTAAGCTACACGGTCCGGGGGAGGCGAAGCGAAGCGAAGGCTGGGAGCCCCGGTTTACAGGCCAGCAGGCTAGCAGCGATCTCCAACCTTCCTCCGGAGCTTCAGACCCTGGAGAGGTAGGTAATACAGCCAAGAGCCGCGCACCAGCCACGGCAGCAGAGAGGCTCGCACCCCGGACCACCATCCCGATCCCTCCCCTCCCTCTCCGGAACCGCGCACGAGCTTCGTGGGGAGTGGCCGCTGCTCTCTCCCCTCTACCCAGCGCCGGGTCCCCTCCCAGGAGTGGGGGACCCCTCCCCCAGTCCTGGGGCGTCGGGAGCCCCATGGGGGCGTGGCGGGGGCGGGCGCTGGCTTCTACGCCTGGGGGTCTGGAGGAGGTCTCAGTTGCCGGGGCTCCCTGGGAGGGACCCCGCTCCCTCCACCTTCCAGCTCCCCACACAAAGGCGCCGACGGAGGCGCCGCACTTACCGGCCAGAGCGGACTCCGGACGCCGACGAGCGGGCGGGTAGGCTGGCGGGAGGATGTGCGCGCGCGAGTGTGCGTGTGTCCCTGTGTGTGCCTGCGCGAGTGTGTGTGTGTGTGTGTGTGACGGGGACCTCGCCGAGCTCTGTGCGTCTGCGTGTGCGGGGGCGTCCGTCCGTCGGTCCGTCTGCCCGGCGCTCAGTCCCGCGCTCCGTGCGCGCTCCCTCACCAAATGCGCTCCGGCTGCGGAGTCTCGGGCGCAGCCGCCAGGTCGGCTCCTCGCCCTTAGTCCCGGCTCCGCCCCGCCCCCGGGCGGGCTTGCGCCGCTTCCCGGGAATTGCGCAGGGCACGAGGGGCTGGCGAGCGCGGGGGCGGGGAGCTCCGGCGGCGCCCAGGGCCCAGGTGGGGCCGGGTCGCGGACCCTTATTCCCCGACCCGGATCTCGGGCGCCCCCACCCCGCAGCTCCGCTCGGAGTCCCCTCAGGCGCCGCCCCCATGCCGAGGTTGCCTGGACCGGGAGGGCGGGGGAGCGGGAGCACCGCATCAATTTCATTCATGATTTTTCTCCTCTCGGGAGCCCCAGGCCCGGGTTGCGCTGCTACGGCGGCCGCCAGAGGGACCCCGGCGGGGCCGTGCGCGCCGAACCCGGTGCTGGACCGCCAGGCAGACAGCTGGGGGTAGGGGAAAGTGAGACAAAGGGGTCATAGCCGGGGGCTGGGGGGGGAATTGCATGGAGGGGGTGCTGTGGCGCTCCCCGCATGATGCCCGCACGATGTCGTTGCCGCACCTGCACAAGCAGAGTGGTTGCATACAGCGGCGCGCACAGTGCCGGATGCCCAGGACCCGCTCCAGGACTCGGGAGTGGCACTCACCTTCCCACCCTTCCCTGTTCAGTCTGAGGAGCAAGACCTTCCTCCGCCAGGTCTCACCCTCCTGACGCGCATCACGGGGCGTGTACTTGTCTAGGCTTTCTCGTGGGCACAGGCGGCCTGGACGCGCAAGGAGCTGCCCACGCGCCCCACAGTCCCCCTTTACCCAGGCTGGCACCCCGCTGGCCGGAGGTTCCTGGCATTCCATCCGGATGGGGGCTTTTTGAGACGTTGGGAGGCATACAGGGCCGGCATCCTAAGCTTCGTTTTCACATGGGGAAACCGAGGCGCACCATCGCAGGGCTACCACCCTGGTTCCAGCCGCCGTCCTCTTTCGCCTGGATCTCTGCAATAGCCTCCTTACTGGTCTCCCCGTTGCCACCCTTGGCCCCCTGCAGTTGATTCTCTACGAAGCAGTCAGAGCTATCCTTTCAAAACGTAAGTCAGATCGCGTTGCTCCTTTACTGGATATGCTACAATGGCTCTCCATTCGTTCAAGTGAAAGCTAAAACCCCTGTAATGGCTTGCAAGGCCTCTCATGAGCTGGCTCCCTTTTATTTAACTCTGTAACCTCACTTCCTACCGCTCCAGTCACACGGGCCTTTTTTTAATGCGTCACCAACATGGCAGCCACCCTGTGGCCTCAGGACCTTTGCACTGCTATCTTCTCTGCCTGGAAACTTCCCCCAGATAGTCAAATGGCTTGCTCCTTTACTTCTTAAGTGTGTCACCTCAAAGAGGCCTTCTGTGACCACCCTATTTTAAATGCAGACCCACTCCCCCCATTTTCTCCATGGTAGTCATGACCTTTATTTTGTGTTCCTTGCCTGTAAGGTTCACTGGCCCTTCACTTCCAGCTCTCACCTTAGTCCTTCGGCATCCTAGTTATCCAGCCTTACCACACTACTCTGTTCTCTAAACAAACTGCATTTTCCCATTTCTAGCCTTTGTTCATGCTGTGCTTTCAGCCTGGGATACCATCCCCCACCATGTCTTACCTAATTTTTAAGTTCCAGTTCAAATACCTCTTTCTCCATGGAGGCTTCTCTCATATTCCCAAGGACACTCAGCCCTCATTCCTTTCTGTTTGCTATAGTAACGGTTCCTTGTCTTTTAACCCAAGTGCCCTATGAAGTCCTGAGTCTCCTCTCTCTCCAGTTCCCAGCACAGAAGGGACCATCAGTCCACGTTCGTGGATCAAGGGCAGTGAATGGGAGGCCCTGGGCTCGGCCTTGACTCATCTTTTTTTTTTTTTTTCTAGGAGGGGCACAGAGCCCAGCTGGGTCTTGTTATCCTCAAGTTGTTTCTTGTGGAATAAAAGGAAGGGTCAAGTGTCAGATAATGGGGAAAGTGTGGGTAGATGTGTCAGCCAGTGCTCAAGGGTCCACTCTCCCTCCCTGAAAGTATCATCTCTGTCATTCAGCGTAAGGCTGATTTTCCCCAGACAGTGTCAGTGTAACAATAGCAGCTACCATAAATGAGTGTTTGGAATGTGCCAGGCCCTGTTTTGTGTGTTTTCAATGCTCTGTTTAATCTTCTTGGCAATTTTGCGAGGCAGGCATTTTGATGTCACCATTTTCAGAAGAGGAACCAGGAAGAAGTGACTTTTTTACGGCCCTACAGTTGATATGTGAGTGGTATGTGTTTCAAATTAAGATCTAGCTAATTCCAAAGCCCAAGCTCGGGCAGAGACCCTGGTGACTGATGAAGTGAGGGAGCCTCAGCAAGGTCACCCTGGCCCAGATTTTTCTTTTTTTAATTTATTTATTTTTGGCTGTGTTGGGTCCTCGTTGCTACATGTGGGCTCTTCCTAGTTGTGGCGAGCGGGGGCTACTCTTCGTTGTGGTGTGCAGGCTTCTCATTGCGGTGGCTTATCTTGTTGCGGAGCACGGGCTCTAGGCGCGCGGGCTTAGTTGCTCCGCGGCACGTGGCATCTTCCCAGCCCAGGGCTCAAACCTGTGTCCCCTGCGTTGGCAGTCGGATTCTTAACCACTGCGCCACCAGGGAAGCCCTGGCCCAGATTTCTGCTGAAGCCAGCTTGGGAGTCACAAGGGCATGGCTCTCCAGGGAGGGTGGGAGCTGGCAGATTTCTGTCAGTGGTGCCTGTGATGTCCTATGGTGGAGGCTAGTTGCTGTCCTTCATAAAGTCATCTTTGGAAGGCCAGCACTGCCTCCTAAGCATTCCTACCTGTGCGCTCTGGGTTCAAAGCCCAGCCCCAGCTGTCAGGTGTGGATAACAATGCCCATCTCAAAGGGTTATGGTGAGGAAGGAGAATGATAATATACCTAGAAAATAGTAGGGGATCAAAAATGATCTTTCTCCTTTGCTTCCTGTAGGAAGTTTCTATCACATAGAGATATACCCAAACTTGTCTTCTCATCCCGTGTCTGCCCTGTACACCCTCTTATTTAAATGTTCCAGATTCCTATAGTCCATTGAGTGTTGCCCTCGGGTACAGATAAGGAAAGAAAGTCTGACATTTATTGAGGGCTTTACAAATAAGCTATTCACGTTGCTTCCATGGACTCTCTTCTTTCTTCTTCACAAGCCCCTTAAAAGGGAGGTTCTGTTATTACTGATGAGGAAACTGAGGCACAGAGAGGGCAAGGGACTTCCCTATGGCCACAGCGCTCACTAATTAATAGCAGTAATGAGATTCTAACCTACGTCCGACTCTGCACTCAGCAAGCACCCCTCTTCCTTAACCCCATCACCATGGAAAGCAGCCCCATCGGTTTCCTTTCTCTTCTCTGATGGGGAAGGAGTGTTCTGTGAGGTCCACGGCGGCGAAGTAATTGTGAGCTTGGGAGGATTTAGGCGCCTTGAGTCATTTTGTGTGACTCATTTATCCGCTCTTGATGATGGGAGGAAGAGGGCTTTGGGAGAGAGAAAGATGGTCTGAGTAACCAGAGAGTGGCTTGCTGGTGGTTTCTGATGCACTGTTGGAGTCAGTATTGCTCACTTATGACCTCACTTGCAATTCACTCTATCAGTAATGAAATGTCTTGCTTCAGTGAAAATGTCCCCCATCCAGATTTTTATTTATTTACTTATTTATAACCCACCTCAATCAACAAAGGATTTGAGGTTGCTTACCACAGGAGTAGAAACCATAAAACAATGTTAAAATATCAATAGAGAATCAGGACCAAGGAAAATGTAAATAAACGTTGAGAGACAAGACCAAGGCTTAATCATTACAGCCGGTGTTTATTGAGTTCTTCCGGCATGCACAGGAATTTGTGTACATTGTTTCACTTAACGCTTAAAAGAGTCCTCTGAGGTGGGTGCTATTATTATCTTTATTTCGGGATATAGGGAACCAAGGCTCAGAGAGATTAAATACGATGCCTAAAGTCACGTAACTAGTCAGTGGTAGAGCCAGTATTTATATCTAGTTTGATTTTGGAACTCATGCCCTTAACCACTGTCCCGTCCTGCCTCTCCAGGGCACAAAAGACCACACATTTGCAGACCACAGGGGCCTCTAGAGTACTGGGTTTGAGTCTCAAATTCAGTTCTAATTTTCTTGGATATCAAAAAGGAAGGCCACAGCAAGTTACATAGAGCTAATGCCCTCACATCCTTCAGGTCTTTGCTCAATGTCACTTTCTCAATGAGACCTACCCTGACCACTCTTCTTAACTGATACTGGAGCCTGCCTGCCTCTTCAGCAGTTCCAATCTCCCTTTGTCTTTGCTTTTATGATGGCACATTTTACCTTCCAAAGTACTGGACAATTTATAAGCTATGTTATATATTTCAAATATGTTATATGCTTTATATAGCACATAAGAGGTTCTATTATATATTTTATAGTAATAAATATACTTATGAATTACAAATTAGATACTTTATCTGTTTAATATGTTCACTATTTTGTTGTCTGTCTTCTTCCACTAGAATACCAGGCCACTTGGGGGAGCATCATTGTCTCTTTGGATTGCTGTTGGATCCCAAGTGTCACGGACAATGCCTGATATATAGCAGGTATTCAATACATTTTTGCTGAATAGTTGAATGATAATTTCAGAGAGGAAGGACAGAACAATATATCTAAAGTGGGAAAGTAGGTCATTTTTTTTTGCTAGCTCATATTTTCCTTCCCTTCCCACTTTCTTTTCTCCTTTTCTTTTTCTCTACTCATTTCCTTGATGAATTTAGGCAGCTCTAGCACTTAGCTCTCAGAGCAAGTCTTCTGAGGGTTTTCTGATGGTAGACCCTGAGGGTCCCTATGGC